TTTTTGGCATTTTTGGACAGTTTTGGCATTTTTTGGCATTTTTGTCAGTTTTGACATTTTGGCATTTTTGGCATTTTTGGCATTTTTGGACAGTTTCGGCATTTTTTGGCATTTTTGTCAGTTTTGACATTTCGGCATTTTTGGCATTTTTGGCATTTTTGGCATTTTTGACATTTTTGGCATTTTTGGACAGTTTCGGCATTTTTTGGCATTTTTGTCAGTTTTGACATTTCGGCATTTTCGGCATTTTCGGCATTTTCGACATTTTCGGCATTTTCGACATTTTCGGCATTTTCGACATTTTCGGCATTTTCGACATTTTCGGCATTTCGACATTTCGGCATTTCGGCACTATGTAGGAGGTTTTACCTTTCGGCATCAGGCTAAGCGAATTTTGTCAGGCAACCTTATGATGATGATGAAAGTAATTTAGAGGATGTTGATGATAGCGAAAATATTTCTTTAGATTCTTCTGTAGATACAATTTTAGATAATCTTTTATCATTGTTTAACACTTCATAAGTTTATTATTATTTCATTAAAAACATTCGTTGAATTTTACAAATACAAAATAAAATTTTAAACTTTAAATTTGTTAATGATCGTCATTTAAAATTGACCAATCACAGAGAAAGCCCGCTATGCTGATGATAATATATATAAATAAAGTTGTAACGTTTCGTTTTAATTTAACGCGTTACGCGAAATAAATTTTGTATTACTGTGCCACATTTCATATTCGCAATTAACAAAAAAGAACTGTTACACTTGGGCTGTTTCTATTGTCCATGCTTCATATTATTAATTACTACAATGCAGGTCATCTGTAATCAAATAGTAACAACTAGTCAGCTTCAAAATACTGAAACAAAAAATTTTTATACCATTTTTAAAAGGCTAACTGATAAGTTTTATTGTTCATGACTTAAGCTTCAAAACTTATTGGCTAATTTTTTTAAAACTAAAAATTGGCAGAACCTTAGCATTTGAAAGTTCCAAATTTTGTTATATATACTTTTAAGAAGTAGATTTCGTGTAACAATTTTTTTTTTCATAGAATATTTTCTATAGTGGCAATCATCTAAAGACATCATCAAATGTTGCCAATCTTTAAGTGCTGATACTTTATTAAATATGGGCTATTTTACCAAAAACTCTCTATTTTTGCAATATTCTAGACATGAAAAATAATGTAATAGAAATTTTTTTTGAGTTATTTAATTAAAAAAAAAGTTATAATGGTTTAAAGTTGGGTAACTTTGCTATTTTATTTGAAATTTCGGCAACTATATATCTAAACTGCAATTTACAGATTATTTACCAATTATTCACGTGACAAAGTCACAGATCTTTTACAAATTTGGATTTATTTTATATATTGGATTCTTTATAAAGCAAGATCAGCATTAAAATTTTCGGCAAGTGGCGCAGCACGTAATGTCTTTAGATGATTCGCACCATATATGACTTTTTATATTAATATGTGTGGTCAACTATGTTTGTGTTTATTGAAATTTGTAACACCCCAACGCAGTGTTGTGCAATTGGAACATTGTAACACTATTGGAATGTTCCAATGTGGTTCCAATGTAGACCTTCAATTGATATTGACCAATAAAAATTGTGTGGGTGTCACTGTAATTGAATTTCATTAGTTAACTCCATTGGAACCACATTTGGAACATTCCAATTCCAATTGGAATTTGTTTAAATGTTCCAATGAAATTTTATTGGAACCATAAATGGCACAACACTGCCCCAACGAATGAGGCCGAAATCGATTTCCAAATTTGGTAAAATCCCTAACTGTAATTAGGTATTTCATAAGCTTATACAATTCCTTCTTGCTCAGCAATTGGCCACACAAATGTGAAATAATTTGAAATGGTGCCAACTGATATTTTTTTTATTGTTAAAGTTCAACTTGCATTGTTGTTGTTGTTGTTGTTGTTGTTGTCATCGTCTTTGTTGTTGTCATCGTCATTGTTATCTTCGTTGTCATTGTGATTAAAATAATGGTGTAACAAATATTTTGGAATTTTTATAATATGACAATTGCAAGTATTTGAAGATAATCAGAACCAAGAAATCTTGTTGTTAAAACTTTCAAATTCCAAGCTATTGGCATTTAATTTGCATATATGTTTCCATAATATCTTGCGTATATACCGATCTTGCTTTGATTATGTTACCGAGTATTATGAAGATCTCTGGAATCCATGTAATGAATGAGTTTGTATATTTGATCATTTATTTTATAAGATAAAGTGTATCGTTATTGGCTAGCCGCCCATAATGCTAGTGTCACGAGGGTAAATTTATTATTTGACATAATTAAATTGTGATGAAATAGAATTAATAATTGGCCAATCTTAATAATGATTTAACCATTTTTAATTATTTGCAGTCAAGGAAAGGAATTATTATTATTTAAAAGTATTTCGAGTTAACTTTTATTAATTTATAAAGTATAATATTTAGTATTTTAAATTTCTTATAAAAAAAATTTTAAATCATAGAAATGAAATACATAGTAATAGTAATAATAAAAACATACAAATTTTTCCTTATATATTTTTCTTAATTTAAAAACTGTTCACGAATAAACATAATTATGCTTAGAAACCCACCCCCAAAATGAATCGCGTAAATTCGAATAAAATAAAATAAAAAACAAAATGAAAAATAGAATTATTATTACGGATAAATTTTTTTCGATTATTAATTTATTGAAATTTTTTTTTTAGAAAATGTTAGTTGTTGTCGTTGCCACACGACTATTACCAACACCATCGCTATTATTATCATCAATATAATCATCATCAATCATTATATTTTTTGATAATTGATTATTTCTAGAGATTGAATCATTATCACTGCCAATGTTAATTGGACGATTATTATGACTTGAACCATTTAATCGACTAGAATCAATATCAATAATTAAACCTCTCAATAGCTTAACTTCGCTCTCAAGTTCTTTAACTCTACACTCAAGAAATTCAGCTTTCTCTGTCATCTCCCTAGCTATACGTTCTAATTCTTGTTCCTTCATTCTCCTTTTATTACGAAATTTTGCCGATGCTAATGTGTTACGTCGACGTTTTTCATCGTCAGTTGGGTTAGTTACTTTCGGTAAATAGCTTGGATCATCACAATTATGATTTGGATATTGATACGGACTTGGTGGAGTTATCGTTGTTGTCGTTGCAGAAGTAGAAACTGAAGAAGTTGAAGAAGATCGTGTCGTTCTTGTTCTTGTTCTTGTTCTTGTTCTTGACGAAGATGGTGATGGCGATAATGGTGTCAATGACGATGAACTTGAGCTTGTTTCTGATAAATCTGATGATGTTGCAGTAGACATAGTTGCGGTAGTTGCGGGCGAGACAATTGTGGTAGGAGATATTAATGGTGTTGTTATAGGAATTTTCTGAGCTATGGAGGGAGATAAAATGCACTCTGGTGTTAACAAGTAATTATTCTGAATTAAGGGACGTGATGGTGTTTCTGCAACCATCACATTGGGAAAATAATTCATTGCGGATGCAGTTGTGGTGATAGAGGCAGGAGATGTTTGTTGTTGTAGTACTAGATAAGCATTATTTAACAATTGTTGATATTGATACTGAGATGGTATTAAAACATTATTATTGTTGTCGTTGTCGTCATTGTATTCCCCAAGAAATTTGTCAACAATATTTAAATTTGGCGGCATTTTTTGCAACTTTTCATTAACATTGACATCGGCATTAACATTAATATAATCATCGTCAACAATAGCATTAACATTAAGATTGTCATTAGCATCGGCATCGTTAACGAAAATAATGTCATCATAAATCTCGGTGCTTTCACCAGTAATAGTAGTTGTGTCATTTAATGTCATATTTGCGAGCTTATATTATGATATGTACATGTATAGGTATTTATTTACAATCGCAGAAAATTTTTCTTTTATATTTTCAAAACAATTTAACAAAAAAAATTTCTCTTTTTATATTTAATTTTTTTTTTTTCATAATTATATTTATTTATCTCATCACATAACTATCTCTAAAATTGTGCAATTTAATGACGGATCATATATGTAGATCCGAGGCAAAATGTGTATTTATTCCTCTTCTAAAAAAATGAACTTCATCTCTGGATTTGAAGTATGCCGGGGTTTATAAGATGTGTGTGGTTTTATTGAATATTCTATCGAGATTCTTTAAATAGTTAATGTTAGGATACCTTCTCGGAAAAGAGTAAACTTATATTTTAGGTAACATTTATCAAATTCTAATTCATTAAATCGGAAATGGAAACCAAATATGGACTCTCATTGTTAATATTAATTAGGAGTATGATATATACAAAAGTGAGAGGAGACACTGATTGTTTTTACTCACCTCAAAAACTTTTCTGTTTGGGGCATATGACATTAATTAAAATTTATTGCTGGTTAAACCCAATATAATATTATCTTCCACAAGATGGATGATATCATTTGGAGTTAAATGTCGAAATATATTATTTCTTATAAGATTTAATGATGAAACCCTTTGCTGGATGTCCTTATGCATTATTAAAAATCTCATATGACATTGATAAAATCTCTTACATTTTTTGCATATATCGTATTCTCTCGAATATAAGCACTATGTTGGGCGGTGCTTATACTCGAGAGATTTTTGTGTTACTCATTTCAATTTTTTCCCCACAAAAGTTAATCGCCCCATCATACTCTCTGTCTCCAAGTTTTCCAATATGCAAACAACATGGTTAATTTTAACTGGCGTCATTTTACTATTGATCTCTTGTTGGCAGAAAGAAAAGGAATAACTTGAATCACAAGAATTATAAGATGATGATGGTTCTAGAAAAGAGTAGTCAAAATAAAAAACTTTCTTGCCTTTTGTTTATTATGCAAAATAAGAAAATCAATATTTTTCTATTTTTTTTTTTTTTTTTTGCAAATTATAAGTGTTGCTTAATGTTTGAGTGATTATATTTAAGAGAATCTATAATATTTTATTTAGTATTTCGTGTGCTATAACAAAATAATTCAAAGGAATAGTTCAAGCTCTCGACAATGAGTTAAGAATAACCCTAAATTTTAAATCTTAAATAATCTTAATAAACAAGCTTGTCAACATTGTATGTTCTGAATTTCGAAGGTTGTCCGAAGAGTTATCTTTTGGCAGAGCAAAAAATGATTAGGGTGCCATACTTGTAAAAATGCAATTTAATTGCATGATAAATTCACGACTGACGTCAAATCGATACTGTGATATTTGGTAAATGGTATATATCTTTTTTACTTTTGTTTTTAAGATCGAAATTAAAATATTAAATTTTGTCGCTATCTTTTTTTCTATAAATAATTGTTCTTACAAACAGCAGCATTAGCAAGTATGGTGGAAATTCATCGTTATTTTTGCGTTTGAACACCAATTAAATCTGCAAAACTACTGAGTATATAGACATTCAGTACTGTACTCTTTTGCACTCCTTTACTGTATGGTCAACAAAAATATAAATTTTTTTAAAAAAGTCATACACCAACATACAGTACACAGCAGATCATACAGTACAGGAATGCAAAAGAGTACAATACTTAATGTCTGCTGACTGAAATCTACTATGTGATAAAAGTTCCTTCGTTGTAAAATATCTACTTTCTATTTTTAGAGTGGTATGTGCTGCAGATTTTTAACACTTCTGAAGGAAATTCTACCATATCAGGCAGGACTTATCATTATAAATTGTTCCAGCTTTATTTTACACAATGACTTATGTTTTATCTCTAGCATTTTGATCAAAATAATAGCTCTATATAATTTGAAATGCCCGAAGCCTTTTATCTATTATTGTATTACCAAGGCAATTGGATCAATCCATGCTCCAAAAGAAATAGCATGACGTGATTTTTTTTTTTGAAAAAGCTTGACCCTTTCAATCTTCTTAAATATCTAAAATACGCAAAACATCTTTTCTTGATCGAATATTTATTGCGCTTTTAATATTTTTCAGATAATTAAAACACTTGTTGGCAAATGAATTATAAGGACCTACATATTTTGCGAACCTTTGTTTCTCGATTTTAATGTTATGTATAGTAGTGAGTGATATCAGCCGTTAAAAACCTTGACTGGGTAGACCGATAAACTCATAGCCGGCTAAGGACTTATATATAAATTTTTTATTTTGGATACATATTTATATAAATAACAAAAAAAATCAAATTCAAATAAGAAAAATAAGAATCATTCAAGAAATTTGAATTTTCCTTTAAAAAAATAATATTATGAATATTATTTTGCTAATTCTGTATTTTTCTTTGCAAGTAAATTTCAGCTGATAAAAACAACCTCTCGGATAGCACTGAGCTCGCCGGTATTTCTAAGTGAATTCTTGCTTGTACGGTAAAACCAACTTTTTTGGTTTTACCAAACAATTGGATAAAAATTTTTGTAACGTTAAATAAAAATCTTTTCTCTGATTTTATTTTGTAATGCACATTAAGCAATTGAAAAGGTTAGCTAATAAAATTGTCAATTGTTTGATATCAAAAAGGTTTATTTATCTTTTGTTTAATTATCATCAAAAAACAATGATAAAGTTGACTTCTGAGAAGTTCCAGAAAAATTTTTTACAGAAAATTAGCCGGCCAAGTCATTTTAAAATTCTTTGGCAGGCTGATATCACCAATGTATAGATCACCCTCCTTTATTACGATAGGTTGTACTATCAATTGTCATAATTGTATTAAAAAAAGGTGAACATACAATCATTTTGAAAGTTTTACAATCGGTTATGTTGAAAACCCGTCTTTCTCGACTTTCTCTAAAAGATTTCGTGGAAGGTGCATTTCACAAGTCATAAAATTAATCTAATAGGATTTAGGCACAAATCATCAAAACGGAAAGAAAAAGATGTGACTATTCTTATGCAGAATAACATTAAAATTGTTTAATTAAAAACCATCCTCAAATTAAATATTTATAATAAAGGTTACAACTTTGAAATTTGGAATTTATGACGCTATATAAAAAAGATAAAAAACGAACGTTCTAAACTTTGCCCAAGTTAAAATTCTCACACACATCCTGCGATTTTTAAATTGCTTTGATTATTTTATAATGATTTTCCAAGTTTATTCTCGAAATTAGTATAAAAAATAAATTAAAGATGAACATGGCCAAGCGGTTATCTGTTTTTCCTACGGATTCCATAAGGATTAATAGATCATCAGCAGCAAAACTAATTTCAAAGCAACAAGAATAGTGATAGCAATAAATCAAATATTTTTTTTCTTTCCATATTTTGTTGCAAATATTTACTTGCTTAACTCGTCAAAATTTTTAAACGCATATCTGGTACAGTATATCAAAATAATTCTAAATTTATATTAGAATGAATTTTAAAAGCCATCGACTTTTTTTATCCTGTCAAAATTTAACAATCAAAGTTGCGATATAAAAATTTTCTACTATTGCTCCCACATAAATTTTCATAGAATATTGTCAAATAAATACATTTTGAAGGAAATGCAATAAAGCTCTATAAAAAAATTCTGTGCAGAAATCATATATAAAAAAAAATACAGAAAGCATACTAATTCTGAATAGCGCGGGAAAATGTATTCCATATTTTTTCTATAGTTAACGCATCACTTCTTGAAAATATACTGAATGCAAAGTAATTTTGTAAATAAACCTACAATTAATCATCTGGTTCCAAACTATCTAAATCAATTGTTTCATTATTAAAATATATTCAATATCTGTGTATAAGTTTCTGTTTGATAGATGAAGTATTTATAGTATAACTAGGCATAAATTGATCGTTGGATCTCTGCAAATCTCTTGATGGTGATACTTTTAATCGGTTAACCATGTAAAATAATTCCTTAATCTTTGGTTCATTATTGTTTTTTAATACTCCCACATCCTCCCAATAATCAAATGGAGATGGAGGTTATATTGCACTGGATGTTGTTTATCCAAGTCATGTACCGTATCCTGGAGATCTTCTAAGTGATAAATGTGTACTTTATTGATTACACTATCAATAGGGTTTATTCAAGAAATTTCCATGAATGGACAGTATGCAAAGTAGCTGTGTATCAAACTGTAGATTTTTTAAAGAACTAATACTGCTTCAGAACAGGAAATTCAATGTCATGAGGTGAAGTTAAAATTCTTGAGATAAATTTGTAATCTTATTTCTTGTGATGCTTTAAAATATAAATGATGGTGGAGTTTTGAAATTCTACTAGATGTGATATCTATTTGGGATCCGACAATTACAATTACTTTACCAATGAGTTAAAGGATTAACAAGAATCCATTCAGTTGCCATAAGGTATAATTGGTTTGCTTTCAGATAAAGATAGAGCTCAGAATATTTTTTTCTAGTATTGAAATTATAATTACTATATCAAATTTTTTTAATAAAAATATATGAATATAAAATAAAGACTTTCTCCATTGAGTCATTTTAAAACACCGCTGTTTGTTATCTGTAAAAATTTTGATGTCTATGTTATGTTGCATGAAATTCAAATTAGCCCAAATTTATAATTACAATTTCAAATTCACATGATTAATCTAACTCGCAACAATATATATAAGATATTGGGCGTGCGATGGACAATTTCAGTGACACCCAAGATGTCATGATATTGGTTGCTGTGCGCCCAATATCTTCTACGTAAATTAGTTTTAAATT